CAGTGGACAGTATTTGATCAAACGGGTTTTGCAGGTTTTCAAGGGCTTCAACCTGTACCCCAGGAAAGCTTCAAGCTCCCAGAAGTCAGACTGACAAAGTTGCAAGAGAATCATAGAATTGTAAAATTAGAAGGGATCCCAAGGCTTATCTAGCCCAAGCCCCTGCAACGCAGGAATCTCAGCTAAGGTATTGTGACAGGTGGCCATCCAACCTCTGCTGAAAAAAATCTCCAAGGAGAATCCACCACCTTCCAAGAAAGTCTTCTCCACTGTCAAACAGCTCTTCCTGATGTTTAGTTGGAATCTCCTTTTGTGTAACTTGAAGCCATTGGTTCAGGTCCTACCCTCCGGAGAAGGAGAACAAGCTCGCTCCATCTTCCATGGAACAGCCTTGTAGATATTTGAAGATGTCTATCATGACTCCTCTCGGTCTCCTTGTCTCCAGACTAAACATACCCAATTCCCTCAACTGTTCTCATAAGGCTGTTTCCAGACCCTTGATCATCTTGGTCACCCCCTTCTGCACAGGTTCCAGAGAGGGAGACCGTTCCGCTGTTTAACAGCTCTTACTGAACCTATGGATGAGTGAACCTACTGCTGTGATTGTTATAAGCACCTATAAGATCATCCCTGTGGCGACTCATACCTTTGGAACAGTTTTAAAGGGGTTTTTTTTAATTAAAAAAATTATTTTAGCAAGTGAAATAAAACATGCTCAATTGTATCTTCCATTTAGCTCTTTAAGAAGTGCATAGCTTCCCACAGAAGTAAAATTACCTTAATCAAAAATGGATTGCAATCAGTTATAGTAAAATGCATTATTTCACTGACTTGTGCAGTTCGTATCAAGAATCAGAAAATTGATTCAACAGGATTCCACAAACCCCTTTACGGGAATGATATCCCCTTGCCCTCTCCATTCTGTTTGCACATTTATCAGGCTTCCAATACAGGATCAGGACTAGTGCACAAGTAATAGTAAGGGGATGCTCAACTAGATGTGGCACAGAAGATGTGCAATCAGGATCTCCTGTAGCTTCTTTAAAATGTAACAGCAGCTGTGGGAGGGCCCTCAGTTGGATTGGGACCACTTTCCCCTTTTGGTTCCCCCAATTAAAATACCTCCTCCCTGTCCCCACTGCTTTTTGTTCTGTGGGGTGAAACAGAGAGAAATGAAGAGATTTGCATAGAGGTTTTTCTCCAACCCCCGCAAAAGCTAGAAGCTTGCATCATTTTTACAGCTGAAATGAGACATGTTAAAGACTTGTGATGAAGTTATGACAGTTGGCATTTCTGTCAGGCTGTTATCTACACATTATTTTTCTAAAATTTCTCACTACATTTCTTAATAGGACTGAAGCTTTTGCTTAGATTGGGAACCTATTAAGGCAGAAATTGTCATTTTTGATGTTTATAGCAATAGCTACATAGATAATACTGCCACCTTTTTAGGGTTGAACTTCACGCCATCTTAGCAAACACGTGTTCCCAAATCCACATTTGGCAAGATAATGCAAGTGTGGATTGCTCACAGATGAGTATTTGGGGCGGCGGCGGGCGGGTGGGGGTGGGGAGGAGAGTATGCTTTACCAATCCAGTATCCATTGAACATGCCCCAAGCCCACTCCCCAACTGGGATTTACTTCTGGATACTTCCAGTTTTGCAGCCTGGCTGCTGAAAAATCACTATTTAAAAAATGAAATTTAAAAACAGGTGGCAGCTAGGGAGAATCAAGGATAGACTCAAAACAATTGTCTCCCCATTGGGGTATCCTTTTAATATAGAAAGGGGGATATTAAACTTTTAGATTACTAAATAAAATTATGAGGAAGCCATTGGACTAGGAATACTGTTTTCCTCATAAAATGGTAGTCCTGCTCATAAAACCAGCAAAAATCTAGATTTGTGGCCTAAAGCATTCATTGCTGTCCTCTCCTAAGAGTGATGGCAGAAGGACAAAAGCCAGGATAAACAAAGCAGTATAGTGGAGGAAGTCTCGTTCAGGATTTATTTCACCTGGGCTTTAATTTCTAGGCACCAGTGCAGGATTAGCTTTGAAACTCAGGTAAGCTTTAAAACTTGCAGAGTGTTTCTCCACTAGCCCAGGCAGTTGGGTTTTGGCAGGCACTTCTCACCCAGCAAGAACCTGTGGATGAATTCTACTTCCTGTCTAACCACCACACCTCCACTTTGCCTTCTTTACTTTTACTCCTGGATCTGAAATTGAACAGAGGCAAAGCTGTAACTGTGTGACCCAGCATGCAGAATCATGGCCTGCAAAAATAAGCTTCGGCAGCTAGTCATCATGGCAGTCCCTCCACGAGGTTTGGGCACCCTGCTCCATGGGGTAGCCTGTGGCGCAGGGGGCAAAGGCATCTTCCAGGACGCAGCATTTTCAGGGGGCTGGCTGTACTGGTATGGGGAAGAAGGGGCAGGGGTATGAGATTCTGCCAGCACCGTTGCGCACGCTTAACTACGACTCTGACCCATTGTTTTTCACATCCAAGTACATAAATTAAAAGGAGGCCTTATAAACGAACTTATGTTTCTTGCATAGGGTACTATTGTGAATAAATTTTAAAAATGGGATTAACCTTTTGTGACAGATCATCGCCATCACCACCACCAGGACACTGCTGATTATTTGTTATCTATTACAGTATAAGAACAGCAACAAAAATCACTCGTATGAAGAGCTCTTCTGATATCTTTTTCTATCTTGTAAGTGTGAATTTGGTTCTTCACTCTCATATGAGACTCTGTCGTTTGCCCTGTCCTTCTTCCTTACTATCTATCTTCTACAGCGACAGAAAATATATTGCCAAATTCCTGAATGTTCAAAATATGACCCTGCAGCATTTCAGATGAAAAGGAATCCTACACAGATAACCCTAACCCGAAAAATAGCCTTGGGGCTGGATCACTTTCCTGAAGGTTTCACCGTGGCAACAGCCTGTACCGCCCCACCATGTGCATGTGCGTCCACATGCTCTAGAACAGAAGCATAAAATGAACACAATGGACAGTTCAGAGATCAAGTTACATTTTTTAACTGCCCAGTTGGTTGGTTTGCCAGCAACAAGGGAAAACTGCCTTAGTCACTATAATATAAATGCCAGAGATGATCCAGCTGGCTCATCTCACAAAGTTTGCCTAGCAGTTCCATGCTCAATTCAGTATTTAAGTGGTGATAAGTCTTTGGGACATTATGTCTCAGGTCTATATTAATAAGGTAAATAATCTGGATAACTTTTTTAAACATTTTGTTTCTTTAACTTGTTTTAGCATGATTGAGTTTGCGGCCTTGTGGGTATCATTATGGGCTGAAAGACAGGTTAAAAATCTAGTAAGTGGAGGAATAAACAGACAGAAAGGTGAATACTTTCTTTGACACATACGGACCTTTGTAAGTGGAATATGTGCTAGATAGTGGTATGAACATGAGGTGGGATTTTGCATGTCCATGCTCAGATTCTGCATGTTTGTGCATGTGATAAGATTATGTGGCAGGCAGAAGGAAGGAAGGGGAATATCTCTGTGATAAGAATGTGCTGTATGTAAAATTGTCTAGGAAGGTCAGCAGGGGGGGGGTGCTCTTTACTTTAAAAATAGGAGAAAGGGAAAGGAAGAGAATTTGTAGGAAAAGGAATAGGGGAACACTGTTTGCTACTTGCCCAGCCTGGACGTGTCCTGAGCTGTGCAGAATAGATGATAAAAGTGTGCCAGAAATGCCATCCGCAGGCGCTGTGGTGAACCTCCTGACATTGTCCAGAGGCTGCTGTACACATACTGGGTGGGCACATTCTAAAAAAGGAGAAAAGACTCCTGACAATATTATTAGACTGAAATTAAAGAAACACAAACTGTGCTGGGATACAGGAGGTGGCAAAGATAAGACTACTGAATTTAACATAGCCGAGATTTGCAGTTATTCTATATAGGGAAGGAAATGTGCAACTGGCAAAGAACTGGCAAAGAAGAAAACAAGCCTGATATCGGGCCTCTTACAACTTAGACGAAAATAAAAGAAAAAAGAAGTGAGAAATAAGGGAGTAACAATAGGAGAAGGAAGGAGAAACGTTTTTGGCTAAATTCATTTTCCTTAGAACTTGGTGCAGCAAAAGGTAAACGCACCATCACCCGGCTGCCAGCCCATTCGGATTTCAAAGTCTGCAGCAAATAGAGTGTACCTGGGGCAGAGGCTAAAAATTAACCAGTATTTTTTTAAGCTGGAAAGAAAACAAAATAAAAAGGGAGCCGAAATAAATATATAAGAAAACAAAATTAAATAAGAACATGTGTGCACAAACGTGCAGGCAGCGAGGGGGGGGGGTGTTGAAGAAGAAGAAAAAGAGGCCACAGAAACAAAAGAAAAAGGGTTCTAAAATTCTCTTCCATAATCCCTTTCCCCTGAGAACCTTGTTCCTATGTGGGACAGCAGATGTGGAAAATTCAGTTTTATTGCTCTAATGCTGCTGTACAAAGCATAAAAATGTCCAGGAGTGTCTGTTTGTATGTTTGTAGTTTGCAAGCCGTGGGCACGTCGATATGCTAAATCAAGCCAACAAAAGAAATTGGGGTGGGGGGAGGGGAATCAAGCAAAGGAAACAAAAGCCTCACCTCAAGATAAGCACATTTCTTAATTCCAAATTCTAATAAAATTGAAGTCCTGTTCTCGCTAATAATCTGTCATTTACATAAATATTCTTATTCTGTACCACCCAGCCTGCGGGGAAAGGGGTTTTCTTCACCCTGGGAAAGTTACAGACATCGCAGGTAGGAGAGAAGCAGGAAGTCAAGAAAGGCCACAGTAACTTTTTCCGAACTACTAAGTACATTGGGGGTCATCCCAGTGCATTTCCGAAGCTAGCAATTTGTTAATTATGGATGAAAGGAAACACATACATAGGAAAACACACACTTTGGGAGGGAAGCAACCATTTTAAAAATCAAAACACAAAATATAAAAACAGTGAGTGGTGTTGTTTGCATGACCTACCAGGAGTGTGAACAAAATACGCCAAGTAAAGATCCAGTTCTTTAATTGTGACTCCAATGTGGTGTGGCTGGACGCAAAGGCCCGGGTTTGAGCACTGCGGCGACTTGTATAGCCGCTCCCCGTCAGTACTTTCAAGAGGGATCCCTTTGAACAAGATGACCATAACTAGGTCCAGCCTCCAAACCTTGTCAGCCTGCCTCAGGCAGTCAATCCTGCGGATTTTGCCCTTCTGATCTGGGTTGGAGAGGACACAACACGGTGCTTTCTTGCCCGTGATGGTCAAGACGAAGTCCTCGCGAAATTCCGGGCGGATGTCCTTGCGTAGCTTGGCCAGCAGCCGGGATGCCCATTTCTGCTTGATCTCAGGCTTTTCACCAAGTAATTCGTCCTTCACAGCGCGCTCCTCATCCTTCGACATCCGCTTCTCATGCTTCTTAAAGTACTTTCGTTTCCGAGCTTGCAGGTTGAACCATGTGTAAGAAAACGCACGGACATGAGGAAGAAGAGCTTCAATGAAGGGGTGGAATTCATCCTGGGGAGAAAGGGCGAGAATAAAGGGTGCAAAACAAAAGAAGGGGGGAAAACGTTAGAATAAGAAAATAGGGAAGGGAGAAGAATCACCCTTAAAGCTGAAATTTGTATGTTAAATTATATATATATGCATATACATATACAAACCGACAAAAATTAAGGGAAAAAATATGCAAGCCCAGAATACGATCCAACCCAGCAACAAGATAAAACACAACAGTAGAACAGGGATGCCAAGCAGGTAAGTTGGGAGTGTGGAGGATTAACACTGTTTCCAGAATACCACCAGAAGATAAATTTGGAGATTTAAAAAAAATCAACTTAAGTTAATTGAATTAAAATAAGACTACCTTTAAAAATAAAAGTAATAAAGTTTGTTTGGAAATGTTGCAATTAAAGACAAAATTGGCTATGATCTCCCTTGCAGGATACAATGCTCAGGATAATTTATATATACTCGATCAATTATTTTAGGAGGCTTTCTGACTTTATTTTTTAAGCAAAGATTTCCCTAAAGCTAAAAACATCCAAGAGAGAGGGGGAAAGTCAAAAATGGAAATAATTACCATTGCTCTGGCTCATCCCGGCGAAGCTAAGCCCCCGATTCAGAAATTCTGGGCTCAGAATTGCAGAGTGTGGAAGGGGGGTGCTATTGGGGCTGTGAGGTGGAAGAGGGAGGAGGGGAGAACAAGGAGGAAAGTAAAAAATATAAAAAGGAAGTGCACAGAAGAGTGCAGGATATTTCTTAAATTGGGTGGAAAACAATTGTTGGCTGCATTCTCCACTGCAAACTGTTAGCCAATTTTTTTTTAAAAAAAGTATTATTTAATAAAAACAGTGGGGTAGCAAAAAAGGAGGATTAAAAATTGAAGAAAGGAGGTTAGGAATGGAAACATCAGCGAAGGACAAAAATAAATCAACATCACCACACACATACACACACAAAATATGTTTTCTTTAAAAAAAAAGCCAAATGTCTCTTAAGGATAATAATAATAATAATAATAATAATAATAATAATAATAATAATAATAATAATTGGAAGGATGAAGGGAAAAAATAAAAACAGGCAGAATAACAGCAAGTGATCAGGAGGGGGAGTTGAGCGGGGGGGAAAGAATCTCTCTCAGCGTTGGCAAAAATGCAAAGATGCAACTTAGATGTGGCTCCCTCCGCCTGAGAACAGGGGCGATCGCAGGTCTAGGGGAAAAGGGACAGACTCCGCTCTGGAATCAGCTGTGATCGGCTGCTGGCAAAACCCAACTGCTGGGGTATGAGGGATTTTGTTGTTGTTGTTGTTTCCCCCCTTTTTTCCTTTCCCTTTTTCCTCTTAAACTCTCTTGCTCGCTTGCTTTCTCCTTTCATGCTCAGTCCCCAACCATTTGCCTGTGCCAATGCCAGCAGAAAAAAAGAGAGAGAGAGAGAGAGGAGAAGGGATCCACCTATTTGGCAAGGAGACACATCGTGGAGCAGCCAATGGCTGCATCAAAGAGAAAGGGAGGTGGAGGGGGGGGGGAGGTTGGCGGAGAAGGAATCAGGGAGGGGGTGGCAGAGAGAGAGAGAGAGAGAGAGAGAGACTGTGCAGTTAAGAGATGGAAAACAATTTGCCAAATCGACAAGTTCATATCTAATGAATAAGCAAAGTCCAGCCGCAATGAAATTTTTATTGGCCAGCAGATTTTGGCAAGGAGGTGACTGGCAAAATATTTTAAATAAATAAATAAATATCATAGCATCCACCCACCTCTTCTCCCCCCCCCCACAACCTCCAAAAAAAGACAGTCCCACAAGGCCTCAGAAAAAGCAGCTGTTCCATCTTTCTCTCTCAATCTCATTCTCTTTCCATCCTCGCTGCCTTTCCAACTATTTGTACAAAAAAAGAGAAGAAAACCCTGAAAAATATTTCCTTCCAATTACAACTCTCTCTTTCAATATGCATGTGGTTAAGATATTGCCGCCCTACTTTTTTCTCAGTTCAGGTAGCATTAATTTAAAATGCATACAGATATTATTTTTTTGCAAGTTCCTGGTATTGCTACTCCAGGCCTCAGCAAACATCTTTGCTTTCCAAAACTAGGGTTTCAGTCAGCCCTATGAAGCTCTATGCCACTTCCTTATTTTCTGCAATTTTCACCCCGATATTTGCCAAAAAATTAATAATACATGCAGATTAGAGCAAACGGACCAGCATCACAATATGAAGTTATTCATCTAAACCAAATCCTTATTCCCCCTATTAAAATTTTATTTAAAAATGGCAAAGCTTAAAATGCATTGTTTTGAAAGTTTAAATAGCTAATTTAATCTATTTCATTCCAACATTCACTTTTTTGTTGCTTATTATTGCTTCATGCCACATGCGCAACTAAAAGGGCATCAGAAAACATGACTGGGGGGGACTAAAATAATTAATTTTGAGGGGAAAGAATAAGTACATAAAAAAGTAAGAAAAGTATGACGACCAGAGAAAAAGAACGGTGGTGCATAAAACAGGAAAGCAAACAGGTAATTAAAAAAGGCAAACGTGAGAAAAGCTAAATTGTAAAAATGGTAAGATTTAAAAAAGAAAAGGAATGAAGAGACGCGAGAAAAAATAAAAGGCTTGCATTAGGGAGTAAAGAAAAGGGTGTGGCCTTGGGGTGCTTTTGCTGGACTTTTCTGAGTGCCGTCCTCAAGGAATTGGGCACAGAGAAGGCTGTGAGGCAACAATAGCTGAACTCACAGTTGCTTTATTAGAAGACAGCTCTGCTTGCTTGCTCCCTCTAATTCAGCCCATCCATGCACAAAGCGCCTTACCACCCGCAACCTCCCAATATCACAGAGCAGAGACAGAGAGGTTTGCATCAAAGAGGGTGAATTCACAGACAAATCAGGGCTCTAGTCCCACCAGAGAAAAAGAGGCCATATACGCCTCCCTGCAGCACCATCAGATACTCTGAGCACCTCTAACCCTGACTTCGCTCGCAGGGCTGCCACCCTTATTCCTGCAGCACCCTCGACAAGCCAAACGCTCCGGTGGGGTGCGCGGAGATGGCACAAAAGACAGACCTACGCCCAGCATTTGCCTACTGCCCACTGCCAGCTCCAGGCCTTGCTGCCAGCTTTCCAGCAACTAAGCAGGCAGCTAAATCAGAGCTCTCGGATTTGTGCTCGCAAATCGCAGGGTGGAGGCTTTCCCCCGCCATAACTCGTTTGGCTGGAGATGGGGGGGGGATATTACTGTTTTTCTCTCCCCCACCCCTCTCCCGCCACTTCACAAATCTGGCACAGGTCAGCCTGAGATACATTAAAAGCAGGATACGGGGCCCTCCAAACCTCTTGCCGCTCATAAATATGTTGTCTGCTTGAGAAAAACACAGGCCTCCCCACACCTCTCCATGACCTTGGCGACAAACCCCCAGAGGACTGCAGACAAAGGTGATCTGTCCGCAGCTGTGTTAGGTAATACCTGAGCCTGCCCCCTTCCCCTCCATCAGGCAGATTAAAGGTGGGTGCGCAGGCAGGCAGTTGAGGTGGAAGAGTTCCATCCCGACACAAAAGCTCGGAGATTATTTTTCTATATCTGTGTCAAGAGGGGGGAGGGTGCAAGTCGAAGCTCAAGAAAGTAGAATAAAAGAGATAAAAGGGAAAACGAACTTGTGCCCTTCTCCCCCCACTCCACTCCCCCCCAAAAAACATTTTCGAAGTCTGCCATTGAAATTCAAAACTCATTTGAAATTCTCACTTCCTTGTTACCTGGGAATATACAGGTTCCCAGGTTGTTTTTTTAGGCCCGGGATCCATCCTTTACAAAGGACTGCATGACCTTCAAAACTTTTAAACAACTAAATCTAATGTACGTTTTTAAAACAACAAGCAAGCTTTGGTGTGGAACGAAACTACAGTATAATCAGAGTCTTTACACTCTTGGAAAGCTTCGGGGGGTGTGGACATTGTAGCAAATTAAAATTAATTCAATTCACACTAACTTTATAGACATGTACATGAGGTGCTATGAAGACAAGAACATTAAGAAGAATGAAGAAAACAGAATGAAGAGCAAAACAAAGAAAAAAATCACCCACTTCTGTCACTACTACCCGTAGCATTCCTTTTCTTGTGATCAGAAGTGCTCAGTGTACAAGACAGAGGTATAAAAGTACAGCTGCTTTGTCAAGGTCAGGTGGCACTCAACAAATACAAAACTCAGGACTTGTAACAAGATGCTATATTTAAAAGCAGCAGCAGCAACAATAACAAACAACAACAACATTACTCTAATTGCCTTAAGAGTTTTCTAGTCTTGATAGGCCTTTTTCACAGAACAGCAATATTTTTACACACTTTCAGGGCTGGCTAGGAAGCTGAACAGTACAATCCGATTTTCACCTAGCACCTCCAAGACAAGAAATGGACTCCTAGGGCACACCTCTTGGACTGCACATAGATTTACTGATACCCTTGAAAATATTGTCACCCCAAGCGACCACTTGGGCTGCTTGTGCACTTGGGCTGGCATAGACAGCGTCCGTTTACAATACGTCGATTGTCACAGCAGAAAAGCTCAACATTCTTGACACATGCATTGAACTAGCATATAAGATAATCAGTGTATTATGGCAGAATTGGGCATCTATGGAATTATCTGAAGTAAGTTGCAAATGAAATTCCACAAAAGACAGGAAAGCCGCTGTTATATGGAACAGGTTTTAATTCCTTTTTTAAAAAAAACACAACCTCATAAATGCTACAGCCGTGCTGGTTCTGCTATAGTACATAGAGGTTTGTTGAAATACCAGTGTAGGTACTTGCTATTTAAGAAAAGTAACACAGAGGGATGACAACAGAAACAATGGAAAGGTTGTCAAGCATCACCACCCATTCCTAGCGATTGCAATGGGAGTGCTGAATGCCCAACACCGAAAACCAGCAATTCATTTAGGAGCATTTATTACAGGCACCTTTGAGAACGCACACTTTAGGACAGCCGTACTAGGCAGATTCACTCCATTCCAAAAGCAC